GGGGCCTACAAGAAAGCTGGAGAGGGACTTTTTACAAGGGCATGTAGTGATAGGACAAGGGGTAATGGCTTTAAACTGAAAGAGGGTAGGTTTAGATGAGGTATAAGGAAGAAATTCTTCACTATGAGGGTGGCGAGGCACTGGAACAGGTTGCCCAGAGAAGTTGTGGATGCCCTGTCCCTGGAAGTGTTCAAGGCCAGGTTGGATGGGGCTTTGAGCAACCTAGTCTAGTGGAAGGTGTCCCTGCCCATGGCATGGGGGTTGGAACTAGATGATTTTTAAGGTCCCTTCCAACCCAAACCATTCTGTGATTCTATGATTCTATGATAGCTCTTCATTCACAGTAGAAACAATGTTGGGAGAAGAGACTGGTAACTTGGCCACCAGCATTAGACACCTCACATAGATGGTGTGCATCTTTGTAGGGCTTGTGTGCTGTTTCTACTTATCTTTGTAGCCAACACGAGCAAAGTCTTCTCTATGAGATGCTGGTTTTAGCCTGTTGTACAGGGTATTTCTCTCACTAAGGGAAAGAGCCCAGCATTTTGATTGCACTTAAGACATACACAAATGCTGAAGCAGTGTAAAAAGCAATGGTGTTACTCTGGTTTTAAACCTGCTGTGTGGAGATAAGTATATCTGAGTTCTAACAGACATGTATTCGCCTTTGGTAAAAAAAAAAAAAAGAAAAATTACTTACTGTTTTCCATCCCTTTTATTGTAGCATGATTTATAATGTTTGAAGGTGATCTGTGTCTATCAGAAGTTACCATATTGCCTCTTTTTGTTTGCCTTTTTAATGTCATAGACTCTGAATGAGCACACAGTCTTGCGTAGCTGTAGAGTCCAAAGTTTTCAGAAATAATTTTTAAAGGAACACTTTGAGATTTCTCATTAATTTTGCTTTAATGCTTTCTGACAAAAATGGGGTAGATCTGGATGTCCCTTTGCTTTTAAATAATTTTGGTTTTCTTCCTCTAACCAAGAGAAACTTCTCACTGTGTCACTGCCACAGAATTAAGGCTGGAAGGAAATTGAAATGACATATTTTACAACTGGATTTTGTACCAATTTCACCTGCAGAGCTGTCAAGCTCCAGAATTTTGTCTCAAGTTGCTTTAAATAAATAAATAAATAAATTATAGTCTAGACAGAAATTCAAATCCGTCAAAAACGTGATTTACTAATATTTGTAAGAGACAGGAAAAGGAACTGACCTACATCTGTGTTCATTGACTGGGTAGAACAGGAACCAGTAACTTTAGTATGCACTTCACCTGCAGAGCTGTCAAGCTCCAGAATTTTGTCTCAAGTTGCTTTAAATAAATAAATAAATAAATTATAGTCTAGACAGAAATTCAAATCCGTCAAAAACGTGATTTACTAATATTTGTAAGAGACAGGAAAAGGAACTGACCTACATCTGTGTTCATTGACTGGGTAGAACAGGAACCAGTAACTTTAGTATGCACGGAAGCTATAAAAGACATGTGTGATTCTGCAGGATTTACTATAAAACCCATCAGTCTAGTGCGATTTTTCATAGACAAATATAGTAAGGAAAAGTCCCTCATATTACGTGGATCAGAGAAACCATGTTAAGATATTTTCATCTCTGCCAGCAGAGGCTTTCAGCAAGGAATGCCAAAAATAACCACTGCAGTCAAGTTGTTTAAAATATACACTTTGTTGCTGATTGCACTTTAAAATCCTCAATAAAAATACTGTTGGCTAAAAATATATTTAAACATCTGGCATAAACAACACCTTTAAGTTAATTTGTGGTGGCACAGCAGTCCAACAGGGATAGAAACATTGAATGAACTTCCACGTAGTCCAAGAGGCATATGGGGTCAAGAAGGAGGGGAGGATAGGTAGATGGAAAGTACGTTATCCTGGATTAGCTCTGCCAGTGCGCGCCCAATACTGTGGATCTTGCAGGCAGCTGCCTTCTATACCACTTAGTGCCCCTGCTTGATCACATCCCAGACACAGCTGGCCAGAAGAGAGCTCATGTTTGCTGTCAGGCTGCAGTCAGACAATTCAAACTACCTCTGTCTGTTCCTCTGCCTCTCAGCTAAGCTGCAAACCAGTATTTCTTTACCTCCAGATTAACCAAGAAGTCAGTGTTGCACACATAATGTGGCATAGAGAGAGAGCCACAAGAAAAAGATTAACCCCAAAAAACTGCAAATCAAAGAATGGGCAAAAAGAAGAGAGGTGAATAAGGACAGGCATAGTGTTGAGCAAGGAAATTATTTTTCAGCATGACTGCATCGAAAAGGTGGGAGGCTTAAGAATGGAGAGTTGACGTAAAATTTTAATTTGTTTGTTTTGCATCAAAACTAAAAGCTAAAATGTTACTGTGTACTGAAGGAAATGAAAATTTTGCTTCCATTTGATGCAAAGCAGAATGGTTTGCTTCATGTATTTTTTCACAAAAAGAAATTAATAGTTAAGTTATAAAACTGGAGAAGGAGAAAGAATGCCTGAGGGTGGTTGTTGCTTAGGGGGCTTTTTTAATGTAATTCCTTGGAAGTTTAGGACGCTTATGACTTGGGGTATGTGAGTTCAATTCCCTCCTCTGTCTGGTGGGACTGAACCCACAATTCCCATTTTCCAGCCTAGTGCCCAAACTGTCAAGCTCCCATATGGGAATGTGGATCAGGCTGCTTTCCATCTTTCTCATTGGCATTCTTTCCAATTGGATAGAATAGCGATATTCCTGGGAGGAGAGGTGGTAATCCAGGCGGGCCCTCTTCTCAGGGATTGTTCTTACCACTAGGCCACAAGACTATTCCCCCTCTATCTCTGAACAACAGAAGGATTTTATTCAAAGTGTACAATGTGAAGGACCAAGGATGCTTGCACCTGTAGTGGCCTCTGGTCTGCACTCACTTGGGAGATGGACAATTCCTGTTGTGGTCTTTGCCAGACTTCAGGAACCGCAGGTGTAAACTTGCGGTTCCCACGCTGGTAGGAGGTTTTAATGGGAATTGTGTTGGTTATGCTGTGGTGGGTCTCCCTCAGTTGCTTTTCTTAGAATTGTTCCATTTTAAGCAAAATACTTAAGTGATTACTGAGAGTGGCATAACTATTCAGCACTGGGACGCTCACACCAGAGGTGGGATATTTCAGTTCTAGTTACTGTGACTGAAAATTCCAGTCTACTCCATTTTAAGAAGCTAGCGTTAAAGCAGAGTCACTGAGGTCAGTGGGAAATTATATGAGCTTAGCCCTATTGGATTAGATAGAACCTCAGTTTAGATTTAGATACGTGATTTTAAAATACCCTTAACCATTGTCTTAGTTTTACTGTATATTGCAATTTGCTACCCAAGCTTTTGAATAAACTCTCTTATCTAGAAGGAAAATTCTGCTAAGACCAATGTGAGGAAGTTCCTCCTGATTAGTAGGAGTCAGTATTTAAATTACTGTAGTCAGTATTTAAATTACTGTAACATTTCAAAACATTTAAGTCCTCTGAAATGATGAGTATGATATAACTGAATAATGGTATATTGGATTTCCCCTGTATCTGCCAGTATGTATATACTGATAAAGAACCTAGTCCAAATTACCTGTATATAAAGACAGTAAATTGAATTCAGTCAGATCAGAATTGTGTTATTCAGCATCAAGCTATGCGACTGCAAAGGATTAAATGGAACAGGGGCAAATGAGAGGCATTGTTAATGGTGCTAGCCAGCTTAATGTTTAAAAACTGGTTTGTCTTAATAGTCAGAAATTAAATCCATCATGTGACAAAGGAAATTTAATCTGATCTATTAATTCATGTAAACTTCAAAACTCTGTCACGAACAATGTTTGCTTTAATGTATGTTTAGTATTTTTTCACCAGAGGACATTTTAATTGCTAAAAGCCACTTTGCACTGTATGCTTGGAAGTGAAAGTGACATCTCCGACGTTTCCTTCCTAGCTGAGGCCAGAGCACTGCAGGGCCGTAACAGCCATGTATTTTTTGTTTCAGAGAAGAAAAGAAAAAAACCCAAACAAACCATGTTTCCTGTTTTATTTTTAAACATTCTTCTACTCTAGGAGGACTAGTACTTGAAATAATAGATTTCAAGACGTATATGGTTCTATTCTTGCTGTTTGGTCTCTGCTTCCTCCACTTAGAAAGTTAAGGGGAAGGAAAAGACAAATGCTGTCTATAGACTTGAAAATACACGTCTGCATTAGTAGGCTGCTCATTTCTTCATGCCATATACATCACGGACATGAAGCATGTAGCTTTTGGGAAGAGATGGGATTGGCTAACTGCTCATACTAGAATTATGAATACAAATAGACTGGGGGAAAAGTAGCACATGCTTCTTTTTTTCTTTCTCTTTTTTTCTTCACTGCATGGATTGAGCGTAGGACATGCAACAGGAGCGTGGCTAAGGGGGGTCAGAAAGAATAAGAAATGCAAATAACTGCAAATACAAATGTTATGTTGCCTTATGTCTTGGTTTGTTACTGCTCTTCTGTATTCTGAAAGGCCCTCAAGACTAATTGGTTTCATTGTCATTTTATTTATATATACATATATACACATTCATTTGGGGCTTAACTAGTAACCTGTAACTATGGGAATGGAGGCTGCCAACACACCTGTGATGACACAGATACTGGTCCTGTGTGTGGTTGTCATCAGAAGTATGCCCTACATTCAGATGGCCGAACCTGCATTGGTAAGTACTTCTCTGCAGCGCATTTTATTTCATATTCCTCGTAGAATATATATGTGCACATATGTATGTGTGTGCGTGTGCGCATGTGTGTTTGTATCTCACAGGCGTTCAGCACCATTGCTGAGAGAAGTGTATAACGGCAGTTCCTGGCCGTAGTAGCTAAGGTCACACTATACAGAGAGAGAAGCATTTGTGCGTGTTTTGTCAAAATGTTTGTTAATGAAGTATCCCTTTGTTACTCCTTTGTAACTTTTATTTCTTTTCATAACTCTAACAATTTTTGAAGTTAAAAGGTGTAGAACATTCATAATTATGAATGAAAGTTCAGCTCTTCTGTTCACTTTCATGAGTCAAGACTTCCTTGTGTAAGCAAGGTGAGGAAAATGATCCTCTTTTCTAAGCTCTTATCGGGGAAGATTAATCATCATTATGTGCTTTCTTCCCTGTTGTATGTTTTATGATTCTAAAAATTACAGCACTTGTAGTGAATAAGCTTTCACTTAGATTATCAGTAGGAAAAAGCCGTTCAAGAGATGGAGCGTCTTGGGAGATGCTATGCAAACATTTATGATTATAAAATATATTATTTGCTTAACACCATTTCTTTCCACTCTGCTTTTTTTAAAAATAAAAAAGATATTTTTGCATACTGCAAGTTAAAATTTGGAAATTCTTATTCACAGATCAGAACCTAAAATCCATAATGGTTTTCATTAGCATTGTGGTCATGTTGACTTTTTTTGTTTGTTTAACTTCAAATTCTTACAAATTCCTAGTAATTTCCTGAGGTTAAAAAAGCATGGACACACATTTATCATCTTTTCTCTCCTTTATCAATACTGCAAGACAGAGCACTTGAAACCCATGGAAATCTGTCAGTTGTCTTTAGTGATCCCTTGGTCAGATCCATGGCATAAAACTCAGTGGCTGCCCAGAGCCTCACTCACTTCTGATGGGTCTGACTGCACAAATTGTGTGGTAGGGTGAGGGTTGTGTTGGCGGAGGTAGAGCTGAACAAGGTTCAGCGCTGGACTCTGCCTCGCTGTATACACCAGCTATGTCTCAGCTCACGGGATCTCTCAGCTAGTACTTTTGATTAACACAGAGGGCTCCGTCGTACAGTCGCTCTGTTTAAATAACCCTCCCTGTAGCCTTTGGCAGTTCCAGATGCAGAGAATGTGCAAGAGCGAGGGCCTTGAGAGCAGGTTTTATTGGATGGATAATTGATCTTCTATTTATTAGCGTTCACTAATATCCTTGGATTGATGTTTTATTTTGTTCAGCATGTAAAAATGATCTTAAAAGCTGTATGCACTGCACCTGTTTTTTACTTTTTTTTCCATTTTTGTAATGTAATACATACAACTCCATGTTACATTCCTTGGTCTTGTGATGTAAGTCACATATTACTGCCTGTGCTGATTTTCTTCCCTCTAAGTAGTCCTTTCTTTTAGAATACCTTTAAATTTTTTTATTTATTTTTTACGTTTTTATTCCTGCTTTCTGGTGATGGTTCCTGATTGCCTGTCTTGTCTGATAACTGACGTTCATTAATTATTTACAGAGCAAAATAAAAAAAAAACTCAAACAAAAGCCTCTATTGCAGCCTGATCCCATCTAGAACTTGTTAAAAACAAAACAAAACAACTTCTTGTTACCACTCAACCACGTAGTGTTGCCACAAACAAAACCTGCCAGCCTCCTCCTCCTCCTCCTCACTTCAGTGATTCCAGCGTTTGCTGTCTTCAGTGGTGTATATATTCCAGGCATCACTGCAAGAATGCAAACTTCTGCAATGCCAGATAAATACTTGTTGACCCTTTGTCTAACATATTTTGTCTTTGTTTGCTTGACTTATCCTTCTATTTTATTTTTTTATGTTTGCTGCATGTGAAAGTCCCCACTTGCATTTTGTTTTTTGTTTTCCTAATAACCATTTCCCTCGCTGTATAAATCATTTTATTTACCCAGCTGCTTCTCCATTGCTCTTCTGTATCAGAAATCTTTATTTTTATTTCACTTACTGATCATCTCTTCCCACACTTGTGACTGTTTCTGTGTATTTCTAATGAAGCATAACCAAACTAAAGTCCTCATTATGCTGTATGAAACTCTTACGTGTAGGATATCAGAGACTGCCTTGTAAAATGACCTTTGCTGACATCATCTTGCTTACTGCATGCTTATAATATTACTAAACCCTGTTCTTGCAACATCTTTCCTAGCATTGAATGTTTAGCTAGTAGTGTTTCATAGACAAGCAGGCAACCAGCACTGCCCAAATTGATCTTTTTTTGTGTTTGTTTGGTTTGTTGTTTGTATATTTTTGTTGTTGTTTTTGTTTAATTTGCATGCTGTTGTTTGGTTTCTCCTCACGATGTGTCAATGGGTACGAGACTATGGTGCATCCATGCCCATCCATCACCGGACTCTTCTAGCTCTCTCTGTCTGTCTCGGTCTTCTGCCTGCCACCTTCAGATCCTGGTGCCACCATTAGCCTGAATCACTTTACAGTTTGTCTTTGGTAGTTTGTTTAACTAGCATCTCTGAATTTTAATTTTCATCATTAACACCTCTCTGGGGCACTCATGTTAGCTGTCTTGTTCTCCAGTAGGAATCCAGCTTCCTGTATGTGGTTAATTACTTCATAGTCGACCATTCTTCCTCCTCCCCCTCTTTCTTCCTCCTTTCCCTAAACACCCTTTAATTTTTTCCTGGGGTCTCAAAGGGAATTAACTCTCTAACGGGGATTTAGTGCTTTCATGCCTTGCTTCTTGGCTTTGGCTGTGCCACGCCAAGAAACTGTCTTAGGCAGCGGAAAATTGGGCTTGTGATTAACCAACTGCTCCATGTTTGTCCCTTACTTGTGTTTTAGAGAAGGATGAGGCTGCAATTGAGAGTTCTGAGTACAATGCCACGTCAGTAGCTGATGTGGACAAGCGGGTGAAACGGCGGCTACTTATGGGTAACACTTTTCTTCCACTTCCTTTGTTGTGCTCTCACTTTTGTCTGTATGTGTGTGGGGGGGAGGTTCTCCTTTGGTCTCATTTAGTCCCTTTGGTTTTGGTTTGGTTTGTTTTTTTTAACCTGACTTCATCTGTGTGGTAAGGTCACCAATTTTGTTAAGTTCTCATCTGTTGTACGACTTCATTTCTTGTTTTTAAACTTTTTTTCCTAATGCTGCAGCTTTAATGTTCAATTTCTTCTGCATAGAAAGAAGCTTTTGCCATTAACCTTACTTACCTTATGCAAGCTACTTCTTACATGTGATTTGTGTGTGTTTGTGTGTATGTGTTGCTGTAGGATTCCTGAAAAATCTCATGTTGCAGACCTGCCTATTGACTTACAAGTGGATGATGATGATGATGATGATATAAAACAATGTTGTATTACATATGTGGTGTTAAATGAACAACTGTATTTGCCTACTTAAAATTTGCAGTGCTTTTGATTAAAATGTAAATATTATGACTGGAAATTCATTTATTTCCTTTGTGCAGCTATGTTAGTAACCACTGAAAGATCTTTCCCTAGTGACTAGTGAGCTTCCGTACGTTCTTCTTTCAAGACTGAAGCGTGGCTTGTTTCTCTGTGTTGTTGGAGCCTGGGAGTGGAAGGGATGAGGAAGTGCCTTGAACAATGAAGATAATTCTTTAGCTTCTGCTCTCAGTTAACCCATTGCGCACCCTTGTGCTTGTATTCTTCATGTTACATTTATGGCCATTAGTGAGAATGACCTTTTGGGAATAGAAAGGGTGGAGTGGCTGGACCTCTGCCACACTCTTTTCATGTGACAAAGAGCACAGGGTAGCACAGACTGCTGAATGATACCAGTGGTTTGGAGGTTTTCAGGTGGTTTATTACTCTCTATTTTCCTTTCTGATGCCCTACTCACCACATATAATTATTTCTACTAGGTTTTAAACATAGTGAGCATTGGTGAGATGTACCCAATGAACCGTTTACAAGACAGGGATTCTTCACCCACAGAAGAGATTCTGGCAGGACAAGATTCTGCTCTCTTCCCTCCTGGTCGCTATTTCATTTCTTAAAACCATTGAGTCTGTTGCAAACTCTGTCCTGCTAGCCCTTGGCAAGCTCAGCTCTGGCTGTAAGCATCCACACCTATCTGGAAGGACCAACTCTAGGAGACCAGAAGCCTTACTTTGAATATTTAGTTGATTGCTGGGCTAATAGTTGCAGTAGGTGACAATATTTGTAAAGTTTCCATATCACTTGTATCTCGTTGCCCATGACAAACCATCCGCTTAACCGTAGCCCAGCATAAAACCACTGTGTAGGAAATGGCACGGCGTTATAACTCTGAAATGGTATTAGATGATAATATTGAGGTAAAATATTTTCCCTCGTGTGAAAACCTGGGCATATGTTCCTTTATTTTTAGGTTATCTATGATTGTTAATTTGCAATTAGTTTGCAGACCTAGCAAGTGACCCATATCAATTTATTGTTTAATGATGCACTGTTTAAATTAATTTAAGCTAACAAAAGCTAGGCAGCTCATCTTGCTTTCTAAAGGTGCTATTAACACTTTTGGCTGTAATTTCAATAAGACCCATAGTGTCACAGGAATTCAGGAAAAAAAATGTGCAAAGGGCCATTGGAAAATCCAGTCCTCTAGGTCTAAATGGTGAGTTTGCCCAGCCACCAACAGTATGTACAATATGGTTTAGAGGGACTGAGCAACATAGTGCACTGCGTTGCTGCCTCACCCTCTGATAAAAGTAATTATCCAACCTGAAAATAAGCTCACACTGCTTACAAGAGTCCAGGCAAATAGAATTAAGAAGGTAGGATTAGCAACAAGCTTCTTAGTTACACCAGGTCTGCAAGTTTCAAGCTGAACATAGACTCTAGAAATAGGTTTAGGGAGATAGTTAAAAATCCAGTTTGCAAAATACATTGTTTAACTCTTCAGTACCTCCTGTATTAGCAGGTATCAGCCAAGAGCTGAGGGTTTATGGACATGCTGTGTTTGAACAACTGATTCCTTAGAAAAACATTAACTAGAGCTGAAAAAAAATTTAATTAGTAAATGAGATCTGAGTGGATGGCTTATTACTTAGGGACTTTTCTACTCGTTTATTTCTACTGATTTTGGATGCTCAGAAAATCCACAATTTATTTTTTTAATGGAGTCTTACTACATTTCAAAAGTGTAGTGGCATTTCCATGAATTCCATGTGTCTTCAGATGCTCTCTAAACAGCTGTTTTAGAAAGTACTGGAAGGCTTCTCAGGAAACTTTGTTACGAGCTTTTGTAAATGGACTGTGATTTTTGACCGTCCTGCAGGCAGTCTTGGGAGAGTAGGAAAAGTAGATGACTTTATGTAATTTTAGTAGTCTGATGAAAGATGCTTTCAACTGCAATCCCTGAGATGATAATTTCTAGTCCCCTGTCATTTGCTGCATGCTATTAAAATGACTATGATCTTTATAACCCTTAATATCAGCCAAGGCTAAGAATAAGCTTGCATGAGATTACTTTAGGAGAACAGGGCTGCTGTCAGACATGACTGCCTATGCCACTCATTTTGCTACAGCAGGTCTGTAGCTCAGACTGACTCTTACAGGGGCCTGTGTCCTAGTCATGGTGTGGTCCTGTGACTTGTGGCTAAATCTTAAATAGAGAAAAGTAGATAAATAGACTTACTTCCTTCCTGTTAAACGCATTTTTATCTAGATCTTGTGGGGCAGACAAGAAACTGGTCTTCTCTGATGATCTACAAGAAACCTTTCTTTAGAGACATCCAATGATTCCTAGGAATTTTCATCCAACTTTTTTCATAATGCTCGGAAAGACCCCGAGGGCTTCCAGCTGTCCTTTGTCTTCCCTGTTCGGAGAAAATCACTTGGATTCAGCGTGAAGAGCACTCTCATTAAAGAGATGGCATTAAATGACTTTTCCTGTTCAGTGAATGTTGCACCATATTGCTCTTCATACAGCTCATTTACATTTTCTTCACTTCCCCCTGGGCCATTGCCATTGTAGAGTGGAAAGGAGTGCAGCCTTAATTGCACTCCAGGTGAGCTTCTGGTGAGGTTCCGCCATCTGCCAGAGTTCTTTGGTGGGTGCTATAAACTGGACGTTGAGCCATGTACATTCTGTAGATTAGGAAGGAAAGTGCACATTCATCCTGCAGAAGTGCACACATCCAGGCATTTAAAACCAGCGCCCTACCATAATCTGTAAGGTACGTTTACATCCACCTTGTTGCAGAACACCTTGCACTTACTATAAATCAGTAGGGCACAACCAATGTCTTCAGGTCTTAAACATCTCGTATAGTTTATTGTGCAGTTAGTTGAGCACTGCCTTCAGTTCTTAAAATTATGTTCAAATCTCTGTTTTGTATGGTACAACACAATTTTTTCTGAAAATATTTTCAGTGTATTTCTTAGGAGCAGTCACGGAGACCTCCCCACGTTCCTTTACCTTCTTTCCTCAAGAACCTATTTGCCAGGACTGTTTTCCTGTCATAGCATCATAGCATGAGACTGCCCTACCTGATTAGAGGAGTGTGCTAACGTATTTCACATATTGTTCAGTCTAAATCCAGCATCAGTTTGAAACACATGCCCTGTGTTTCATGTCATGCCCTGCCTACCTGGATGAAAGCCATTCTAGTGTGGGCACACAACTTTAGAAGTACCATATTTCCACTCAAGCCTACTAATACACATATCCTCAAAATATTTTGTCCAGTGTCAGATCTTCAGCAATGGAAGTTGCTTTTATTCATGTATGCAGTTTCCAAATCTCTTTTTGCTATTGCAGCCCTGGATAGAATTCGTAAGTCCAGTGGCCCCACAGTCTACAACTGTAAAGATGAGTCATCCAGTAGTCTAGCGCTATATCATTACATATATTGTCAATTATCAAGTCTCACTGGCTTGGCATTACTCTCTTCTTGGGCACTGTCTCTCGCTTGAAAAGGCTACAGGGTTTTTATAGAGCAATTGTCTGTTGACATCCTGAAGCTTTCTTTTACGTAGAACTTGATACGGTGGACACAAAAATAGGTTTTATAGCATCAGTTATGCCATTGGACTGCCTCATTACAAATAAGTCAACTGCTTACAAAGATGTGACAGGCAGCTGAAAACTTCCTCTTTGAGGAACCAGAACTGCAGAACTGTCTGGTCTTAAGACTCAAGAAGTCCTCATCTCCTAATCAAAGGTAATGCTTTGCTCTTCGGCTACTCTTTACATCAACTCTTAAAACCAAGAAATTTTATGATATATTTTTTATATTGTCTTTAAAAATGCAGTCAACTTGCTACATTGTCATCATCACATGCCTTACCAGACTGCATGAATCCTTAAGGTGCTTTAGCGACACAACCATGATGTTCTCTCCAGGGCATTTCTTAGATCTTATCCTCTGATCAGCACTTTTTGAAGAGGTGGGTCTGACCCATTTCTCACCATGTTTCATTTCCCTCCCTGTACTCTTTAGTAATCAAATGGATCAGGTTCATTCAGGCTTGAACCCAAGTGACTTCAGAACAACTGCAAAGACTATGTTTCTCTCCCTCACCTTCAATCCACTTCTTCCATTCTTTCCAGAGATCACTGGATCTCACAAAGAACTCACTTTGGCAATAAAATGTTCTTCCTCTGGCCCTAGAAGATATAATGTTTGTTCCTTCTTGTCTCAAGAAGAGAGTTTTACAAAGTTATTTTCAGTATAGCAAAGAGCGACAGGACATTGAGCCCATCTTGAAGTTAAGGAAGCGCAGTAATTTCCCTTGCATGTTTAAGGCCAGGATAATGGTGCAAATGGCAGTAATACCATTGCTACAAGTGTCTTCAGAAACCCAAACTCTACACTGAAATTCACTCTTTCACAAGACATGTTCAACTCATTGTGTGTCAGGTTTTGCCATTGGACACTGACTTCTTGGGTCATCAATAAGGCTATTTGCAGCCCACCTCAGATA